CCGGATTTCTGTGTGGTGTGTGTGAAGTTGTTCTCTGAGCCACCTGCCATAGCTCATTTCTGTATGCATCCTACTTGGGCCACTAATCATGAATTGAGGACAGCAGATCTCCCACCAGCCATGCTTTAGGCAGAGTGTTGGTGTCTGTGGCCTTCAAGAAGAACAGAGGCCAAGAGGCTGACATATAGACCAACAGGTAGGCAAGCACAGCTCATCCGTCTGGGCAGTGGAACTGGAAAATGGGTTTGGGCAACAGATGCATTTGTTGCAAAGACACATAGATTTTTCTGTTGACTAGGATTTGGTATCTTTTTGGTGACTGGTCGGGGTAAACCTCACTGAGATGTGGAGGACCCATTCAAATGTGTGAATTTTTTCATACATCTAAACTTTTCAGGTTATTCCTGTGTGCTGTTAGTGGTGAACAGTGCAGAGTTTGTTGAATTTATCCCACGCATTGTACTTTTTCAAGACAGCAGTATAGTTTAGGAGAATTTAAGTACAGGTGAGAATGCAAGTTTGATTTGTATCATGCTATTCCAGTGACACGTGCTGGAATGAGCTAGAATGCATATGATAAAGCAGCCACTGAACTCAGTGTAATGTTCTGAAAAATATAATAATATTTCAGGCTAAAGCAGCATGTACCACTAACTAGTAAAAAGCAGAGGGTGATCTTTTTGTAAACTGAATTCTCTCTATTTTTATAGAGAGTTTCTGGGTTTTTTTGTGGTTATACCTGCATTTAGTGAAACGTATTAGTTGATACATCATTAAGTTTACATATGTAATCTAGATCCTTGGAGCTAGATGAATATGTTAGTGCCTAGTGTGTATGCCCAGAGGATTAGTTTTACACTGATTGTACAAACAAAATCAAAACAAAATTTTTTTTCCTTTATACTCCATGATTATTTTGTTGTTTTGCTGTTGAATTAATGAATGTTCAGTGTAAAAATTACAACAGAAGTATTAGATGCTACTGAAAGGGAAACTCCAGAGTGTTTTATAGATAGTTCATTTTTTTTTTTCTTGTTCCTTTGTGATTGTGAAATGCTGTATTATCAGGAAGGTGAGAGAAAATGCTAACGGCAGCTCTTGCAACCAGGACACAGACTCATTTTAGTCGCTGGTCTTTGTGCAGATGCCTGCTCTTGAATTCACTCCCTTTCTGTTTGGTGTTACAAATGGTTTGCAGTGCTTTCAGAGTTCCAGAATATATGGCCTCAGTTACATGGGTATATTCTGTGAGAATTAATAGTGCCAGTGGAACTCAGAGTTGATAAATGCTACTATTACTGTACAGTTACATATTAAATGTTACCTGCATTACCCTCTCAGGCCAATACACTGCACTCCCAGGGAAGAAACACATAACACGACGTGAAGAAAATGAGAACATATTTAAATAGGATGTCTCCTGGATGGTCTAGGGAGAGATTAAACGGGATTTCAGCTTAAGTCTTGTGTAGGTAGGTATGCCTGTGAAGAATTAACAAAATGGGAGACGTAAAGGGATTTGCTTAGCTTGCCATTTTTCCTCCAGCTGGTAGAATCTGGTATATCATTTCTAATACAACACTGAATATTGTTCTCTGTTTTAGTTTTCTTTTAGTTTCTTTGAGAAAATAATTCCAAGCCTTGCTTTCTTTTCCTGTTGCTGTTTCTTTCAAACAGTGCCTAACTAGTTGACTTACGAGAGGAAAAAGTACTTTGAAATACAGTGCATAAATAAACAAGAGTAGTAAGGCTTTTTATGTGTTTTCTCCCTGCTAATTTCTTCTGGTGATTATTTATAACTGTATGAAAGCAGTATCTATCTGCATGAGTACGGGAAGACACACCTGATTTAGTTGTGCATATGAAGAAAGCGAAATATACAGAATATTTCTCTTTTTAATTTCTGATTGAAATCCACTGTGCGTTGTTGTTCTCCTGTTAGTAATGCACAGACAAAAGAGCAGGCTGTCAGCAACAACATTTCCTTAATTTGTATTTCAGAGGGTAAACATGTAAAACACATATTTTATGGATGTGTATGTGCACAGATGAGTTTACATTGGTTGTCATGTGTAGTGATATAGTAAAGCTCCTGATAGAGTGAAGCAAAGGGAAATCCCAACAGTATTACAATGCGTAGGTTGTGTTTACAACTGAAGTAAACCTTTAATATGTGAAATGAGCACTTGTTGTTTGTAGGCACACAAAATACAGTGTGAGCACTGTCACCATCATTTCTAGGGAAAGCAAGGAGTTGTAATTAAGAGGCTGTAGGACCCATGGCATGTGAAGGAGGTAACCAGGGCACAGCTGGCTTTGAGTGTTGGGTTAAAAGGCAGGACATTCTCTGTATGAAGGATTAGGCTCACACCGAATTCTCATTACTGGTGGAATAAAACTTCTTTGTTTATAGAAACAAAGCAGTTTGAGTTGATGGGCTTGATGGTGGAAGCCAAGTATTGATTATCTTTTTCTAATTTGTTATTTATAATTTAGAAAGTTGTTGTTTATTTTACTCTACGTTATCTTTCAAAAATACTATTCATAAAAGATAATTGAGCAATGTCTGGAATATGGATTTACAGAATTTTTTGTCCATCATAGGAAAAAAAATATATGAAGAAAAGAAAATGGATTCCATTTTGGCCTGTTCAACCTGATGTATGTTTTAGAAAATAGTCCGTTCTCAGGAGCTCAGTTTGTACTGATAATCATAAAAATGATTTTGAGGAGGGAAAGAATGTGTCAGAAGCACTTTCTGGAAAATGTAATTAGCAAGACTAAATACCACTTCTGCCTTAAAAATCAAATCATAGCAAAGCACCCTGCAGAGAGAACTGTTCCTTAACAACTGCCAGAGTCCAGCCAAGGAATATACAGATGTGTGTCTGAATGGGGAGAGACGTTGTTGAATTCACACATATCTTCATTGTGTGAATAACGTTTTTTTAATTTCATGTGTGTGTTCTCAGTGCACTGCTTTGAGAAATAAAAAATGTTTTGCCAATTCAGTACTTGCAACAGAAAGTACTTAGTAAAACGTGTAATAAATTGCGTCTTAGAACTCAGGATCCTGATACACTTCCTTTGACTTGAAAGACAAGGTGAGGCTAATTGTGAATTACTTGAAGCTATTGTGGGCTGCATCAAATTTCTTTTTTAGGTATTTTGGTGAATAACAACAGGAGCTGCTACTTAGGGTATTTTATTAATACTATTTATGTCCTTAGGAGCACAGAAACACGAGAAAAAGAAATATGAGTGGTTGCATTTTGCTGGTGTAGTGTAATTTAAACTTTTTCCTTTAAGACAGCGAGTCCCACCTGATTTTTTTTAATGAGCCGTACCTTTAATGTCCGTAAGGAAAGACCTTAAGGAAAGATTGAAAGAATATAGAATATATGAATAACACAGCAACCTCACTGATGATATGTTAAAAAGCTGTGTTTCCCTAGCAGAAGAGTAATCATGTTATTATTTGAAATTTGAAAGTTGTGAAGTTTTAAAAATAATAAAAACCAAATCAGATTCCATCATGGGTGTGCTTTGCTTCTTAATTAGAAGATGTTTTATCAATGACATTTACATCTTTTTCACTGTTGGTTTCCATTCCACTTCTGCCAGCAGCCTTGTTTTTTTTTTTTTTTTTAACAGCTCTCACAAAGGAAGAATGAGAAAATGCATTTCTGTATAACATTCTGAAGATGTATAAAGTGAGAGTTCAGAAAAAGGAGGATACCATATTTGAACATAAATTAATTCGTAAATTGTTAGATTTTTTTCATTGTAGATATTGGCACTGGGTTATTCCTTGAAGCAAGATTTTTTGTTTGTTTTTCCCAGCACCTTTACAGACCTGAAGATGATGGAAAACACCACTATTGTAGTGTCTCCTTTCTTATCAAGTGTAGTTCCAGTTTCCTGAAACTGAAATTACCTTCACAACAACTTTCTAATAGGGGCAGGTTTATTTTTGCTTGGATGTTTGAAGTAATTACATAAATAGCAAACATTTTTGTCTCTACAATTGGATTTTGCAACTCAGTGATGTATTATTAAATGTGCTGGGCAGTTATGATACAACCTCTGAACAGTTCTGAAAGGGAGTTTGGGATTATTCTTAGTTAACAAGACATAGTGTAGAAGGTAGGTGATTTTTTCCCACCAGCTGATTTACTGCATGGAATGCAACAGAATTTCTTTACTTCAGATACTTGTGCCTGAATCTTCTAGCAGTAAGAAAACAGTTTATGAAAGCCAGAATGTTTAAATTGCATCCTTGTTGCAGAGATCATCAGAATATTTTATTCTTTATATGAAGTCTAATGTGTTTTGGAGAGAAGAGGATTCATGATTTGGTTATCAACACATACAGATTCTTCACTCAGATTCTTCACTCATACAGATTTTATTAAATAGTGGACTGGACAATTAATGTGTCAAGACTGTATAGCATAAGTATTTTGATGCCTTAGCCTGTTGTGTTGCGTGCTCACCCGAATCACACAAAAAACTACAGATTTTTGCTTTTCTTACAGTCCTCTTGTTAGTGTAAAATGCATGAGCTATGCTGTTCTTGAGTACCTTCTTCCACAAGGGAGAGTGTTTGAAATAGTTATAGTGAGAGTCTAGAATTCAGGAATTGACGTTTTTCCAGGTTTTTAAGTAATGAATATTTATATATATATATATATATATTTTTTTTTTTTAATCAGCATATCACTGGAAAAACATCTTACAGGAGAAAAATAAGTGAGATTCTGACTTATGCCTGAATATAACCTGAGCTCTAAATGTTATGGTTAAAAAGCTCTTGTAGATTAGACCTTATCTTAAAATTGCCTTCCATCTTGTATGAAATCAATTATGAGTTGGGATGTTATCTTTAACAGCTCAGTGGAATTTTCAAATATATCACTACTTAAGTTTTACATTTCTTAGGTTTCTGGAGACATGGAGAATAAAAGTGATTGTGAACAAAATTATTTTCTTTCTTTTAGGTTCACTGATAAGATGCAAACCAGAATCTGCCTATTGGTAGTCTTTCCAGATATGATTCAGAGCTAATAAGAGAGACTGAGAAGTACCATGACTCCAAACAGAATCATTTTGGTAAGTCAGTCTCTGAAGTCCACTAAGAGTTGAGAGCATGGTCCTTCACATGAGCAGATCTTTTTTCTGCTCCTTCATAGTTAAAGTATACTTTTAAGAAACATTGCTAAAAACACAAGCCATTTACATTTTGTGCAGTGTTCATGCTGCCAGAAAACTGAAGAATAAAAACCAGCACATTCCTGAAAGATAGTGTAGAATCATAGAATCATTAAGGTTGAAGTCACCACTAGCATCATGCGGTCCAACTGTCAACCCGTCACCATAAACCATGTCACTCAATGCGACATCTGCCCTTTCCTTGAAAACCTCCAGGGATGGTGACTCCTACCTCCCTGGGCAGCCTGTTCCAATACCTCACCACTTTTTGAGAAATTGTTCCTAATATCCAACCTGAACCTCCTCAGACACAGCTTACAGCTGTTACCTCTTGTCCTATCACTAGTCACATGGGAGAAGAGGCCAACTCCCACTTTACTACAATCTTTCAGGTAGTTGTAGAGAGTAATAAGGTCTTCCCTGAGCCTCCTCTTCTCCAGACTGAGCAATCCCAGTTCCCTGAGGTGCTTCTCGTAAGGCTTCTGCTCCAGACCCCGCCAGCTTTGTTGTCCTTCTCTGGTCATACACCAGGGCTTCAACGTCTTGTAGCGAGTGGCCCAAAGCTAAACGCGTTATGCTCAGTACAGTTATACTTAATTAGAACATCCTGCCACATCCTAAACTTCTAGAAAACTTCACAGCACTTCAGCATTGTGTTCTGGTTTTGGTCAAATGACACACAATGCTCTTTGTATCTTTCCACATTCTTTCAGAATTAATTATTTGATGTTTCTGTTACATCTTTTTTGGTAAGCCTACATTCCTCTGCATGTCAGGAAGAATAGTCTTATAGTCAAACTCTTCTGAATAACTTCATCTGCTTTAGGAGTTTCTCATTGCATTCAGAACTTTGTATTGGCTGCTATACAGCAAATTTTAAATAAAGCTGGTTCTACAACAGAAATCTAATAGTTATGTATTCACTATCTAAATATGCTTTACAGGCTTTTGATCTCCTTCCTGAACTCTTAAAGGCTTAATTTTTAATGTGGTAACCATATGGTTTTTAATGCTATTAGTTCTTAAGTGTACTAGTCTCTCATTCTGGCATGCACAGTTCCTTTACACCTCAGGGAAGGTTTGATTGTGTTAATACAGCTAACAGTGTAGCTTGACTATATTAAAGCCTTCTAATGTGTTTAAAAGGGATGGAGAGGTCAAACTTTTTTCCCTTTACACTAGTTCTGATCTGTATTTTTACATACTTACATTAAAGTATATTACATAATATGTACGGGTGATTAAGAGAAAAAACTATGCCACTTTTATGTCCCTGGAAGGTCGGGTGCAAGTATGTATTTTGTATATGAACATGTAGATATCACCTAAAGATAAATTGAGTATAGGTAGGTAGAAGATGCTTGAGTGTGAGTTAGAGAGCCCAGGTCTTTAAGCAAAATAGCTCTATTTAAGAAACATTTGGATAAATTCTTCCTTACTTTTCCTCTGTGCAGAACTCTTACGCACGTATCTACTCACCTCACCCTTTTCCAGAATTTCTCATCATCTCCTGTTTTGATAACTGCTACACTTCATTGGTGTTCTTTACCCACACTGGGCCAAAATAGCAAGTAGAGACTTATGATTAATGATTGCGTCTTATTACTGACTTCTTTGTAAAAGCAGTAAAGAACAGATTATGTCTAGCATTGTACCATTGTTAAGGCATGAGAGTTTCTTCCTACAATTGCTAGCCTTCTGATTTTGTTTTAGTCACAATGTTCCCTACCTCACTCTAGTGGACATTTTGTATCCTGTGAATTGCTGTGCACATGGAGTTCCTTGCCTGTACCTGCTTTATCTGTCTAAGTAGAGCCATGGAAAGCATCTTATGAACCTTAAAATGATGCTGCTTGGCAGTTGGGAGAGTGTACCTGACATACCATAATCTGGGATGCAAGCTGAAGAACAGAGGCTAGCTAAGAAGAGGGATTTCCAAAATATTGATGTATTTCTTGTGGTTCACACGTGAGAAAAAGACATTTGAGAAGTGCATCCAATGCAAATACAGAGCCTGGGTTAGAATTGGAAACATCTGTAATCCCTGTCTCAGTGAGGCACAGCTGTAGTAGCACAGTGAGTACTACTCTGTAGCACAGTGGTAGAGCTGTAGCTCTATTTCTGTAAGGGTACCACTGCAGCAAAATAAATTGGGCAACTCCTGATCTAAGGTATTAGTATTCTATCATGATGCTCTTCTGACAGCCACACATGAACATTACATTACTAGTGCATCAGAAAAAAGGTCATAGTAGCTTAAATAAATAACATTGGTATTTTGCAAATGAGCAATTAAGTTATGAAGCTTATTTTCATATCACTGCTGGCATTGATCCTGCTTTGCATTACTTAACACCTAACACTCCAGAGTTTAACTCCTAACACTAGAATTCTTTTTGTCAAGTATGCAGTGTAGCTTTGTTGTGGTAACATCTGTTGTGACCTCCTAAAGCACGGGCAGAGCTGATAGGTGTAAAGTTCTGCACTTAACTACCATGTAGTTAGCTTGGTTGTCTTCACAGTGTCTCTCTTTGCTCAGTCCCTTCCTCTCTTGCACCATCCCTTCAGCAGCAGTTTCCTTTGATTCCTGGCACAGAAGCGTGGTGTCAGTGCAATTCATGCCCTCTGCAGTAGCTGATTTCTGTCTCGACTGGCTTTTCCAAGACTGTGGAAACATTTGCTACCTTCTTTACCTCCTTATTCATATCTCCGAAGTAGGACACTACATGAGATAATTGGCTTGACCCATTACAGAAGTCACCACAGTGGAGAGTGGTGAGCCTAACCTTTGAAGTGATAGAAATTAGTCGAGAAGTGATAGCGTCCCTTTATGCTGCAGTTTATCAGAAGGGATTCCAGGAGGGAAAAAGTTAAAAAAGAAATCTTGTCAAAATCAGAATTTTTTTTTTTAAATGCATGATTCAGTGTTTACTGTAAAGTTCTTTTTTTTGTTTTACTACAGACCGAACAAGGAAGGAAACAAAACATTTGAGCTCTCTGTGTAAAGGCAGCTACTTTCTCTGTGCCTTTTTCTTTCCTCTGTTTAATTCCCAATACCCTAGAGATACAGTTTCCTCCCTTAGCAGGGACTGTGACCTTAAAAATAGCCAGTTCCAAAATAAACACAGCAAAAAAAACCAAAACAACAAAACACTTCAATTGTTTTACATTTATGGTAAGTACTCAAAACTGTGTCCTTGCTAAAGCTGAAATTCATAAACTTTTGAAGCTTTTGTTTCTCTGAGACTTTTGTTTCTCTGAGAAATCCATTAAAACCTTGGGTGCCATTTGCCAGTGGTTTGTCTCTGTCCTTACCACTGCAGCAGTTTCCAGAGGACACACTTTGACTTTGACTCGGTGCTGGGTGTGCTCACATCACACAGGAAGGGGGTGATCACAAGGCCTCCTCATTGATCACAAGGCCTCTTCTGTATGAGCTTGTCTCATGCTAGTAAGCATCACTGCTGCTCAAGGCCAGCTGGATGACTCTTCAAAAAGAAGCTTGTCCTATCACTTTTGCTTCTATTTTTAAAATTGTTCTCTGTTGCATGAAAGAGGAGGTGGTCCCACCCAGGTTCCCTGTCTGGATTGAGGCTTTGGTAGTCACTCTGTCCAGGCAGACTTCTGGGCTGTCTCATTGCCACCATTTCCTTCACTTCCATCTGCAATTGGACCGGAGTTCACAGTTTATACAAAAGCCTTTTCCAGGGAAGGAACTTACCTCGTGGGGGAAAAAGCCTTTCCCAGCTCCCTTTTGTTAAGAGCTATACTGATCATTCAGGAGCCATCCAGTGGTGTGCAATGATAAGGACAGAAGGACAGGAGAAAGGACTTTGAAGTCCACCAAATAAATCCCCTCTGACAAGCAAGATGAATATTTTCCATGCCTGGACAGTGAGCTGTTGTCCTTATGCTTTTGCATGGATAAGTTAGTCAAGTCTTACGAATGCAGCTCAGTGAGAAGTGTCTTCTATCTTTGTTAAGAAAGGCTGCTGTTTAAAACCAGTGAAAATTTATGAGTAACAAGCTCTTGGATCTTCAAAAACATTTCAAGTAGTACTTGTGCAGACTGTCACAAGATGCGAGCATTCCCTGTGCTTTTCAAGGCCTGAATTCGTAGTGCAGGAGTGAGTTTTCTACCTCTTCCCACATGAATATGCCAAATCAGTGTAGCACAGAAAATATTTGGGCTCTTGAGTACTTTCCTCTGAATATAGTCTTAAATCTTTAATTTAATTAGAAAAAAGTGCTAAAGCATTTTGAAGTCTGAGAGCAAGACTATGAAACTTTTCTGATTAATGCAGACAGCTTGGTTCTTTTAGGTGTAGGAGAAAGAGAAACAGCCAGCAAATGAGCTGGGGGAAGCAGCAAACGAACATTTTGTGTATTTTTCCATCTAAAATGTAATAGTTTCTGAAGGTTTTTTAATCCATCATGTTAGCCTAATCTCCAGGGAGCTCATTTTGAAATTAAATATACCAAAACATTTATGATTTACAAAGAGGGAAAAAATACAAGCCTTAAAAAATATCATGTGTTTGATCTGTTTGTCGCTATGAAAATATTGACAAAAGGCAAAAGAATGGCCTTCATTTAGATTATTATTCTTGGCTTGCTTTAATGCTTTCTTATTAAGGGCAAACTCCCATTTAGATGTGACATTAACTCTTTCACTATTGCAAAGAAATAAGAAACTGAAAATTTGAACATAAAACTCATGAGAGTAGCAATTCTAACCCAAGTAATTTGTACGTGATTCCTACTCAGAAACGTGTGACGTATCAGAAGGAACCTTTGAAAAGTTAAAATTGTATATGGAATAGATTATGCAGTGTGTAGGCTTCAAAATATCTTTAAAACCCAGTCTGCTCTGTAAACTTAGAAACATGGTGTTAATTACA